CTATGAGCTAGGCTGACGCCACGGCACTCACTCTAGCCTAGGCAACAAAGCGAGACTCTGTCTCAAAAATAAATAAATAAATAGAAACATATAACATTTTAAATAATAATCCAAAGAATAATAATATAATTTAAGAATCAAACATTTAGGAAACAAAATATCTTAAAGCAGGGGCTAGCAAACTATGGCTACATGCCAAAGGTAGCCCACAGGGTGTTTTTATAAGGCCCACAAGCTAAGAATGGTTTTAACATTTTAAAATAGTTGTTAAAAACACATACACACAAAGAATAATGAGACCATATGTGGCCCACAAAAATCTAAAATATTTACCCTCTGGTCCTTTATAGAAAAAGTTTGCAACCCTTGCTTTGGAGTATTTGCTTTGTAAACAGAAAACATTTCCTTTTACACTACAGAATAACCTTCCAGTCTAAAGAGGAAATAATTTTGATATTCAACTGACTTTTAAAATACAGAATTCTGTATTTTTTTAAATACAGAATTCTGTCTGTACATTCAACATAATCAAAAAATTTTAATCCTTTTGGCAAATGCTAGGAAATACATAAATCTTTTTAAATTACTCTTCTTTCTTAGACATGGCCTCTATCAGTCCATTTCTCCTATACTCAACCCCTCATCCGACATACTAAGATATACTTTATATAAACTTAACAGGCACTGTAGAACTGTAGTTCCCTTAACCTCTCCAAGTATTGCCATCTAGACACCCAACTCCAAATAAAAATGGTTCAACATATTCTTGACAGCTCTGTAAAAATAGTAAAGTAGACTTTACTATTTCTGACCTACTAATCTCTATCCTATTTTTTACTTATTCTATCCAAATAGCTTTAAAAAGATGGCATTAATCAGACCATATTAATTAAATGCCAATTCATAAGATACTCAAAGAAAATGTTCTTATTAACAGAATTAACACATACATTTATAATCCAGAGTATTTCCCTTGCTCCTTGAACTTGCTACCCTTTTCTACCAAAGAACTACATAATTCTAATCAGAAAATAAATGATTATCTTTCATTGCCATTTGCTGCTTGTCATCATTTACCCACATCTCTCCTACTTACTCTTAATAACTAATAAAAGTTCCTTCTTTTTAGAAACTCTAATATACTAATTTCTCTTCTATATTTGCTCTTTTCTTTTTACTTTATTTTTCAGGTCCTTTGCCAATACTTCAAATGTGTAAAACCTTTAAGAGCCTCAAGAATAGGCCTCTCTCCTATAGAAAACCAAGTTCATCTATTTCATCATTTAAAATGCCACTGATTATTTCCTTCAGGAGGATGTCCCAAAATAAAATTTCTCTCTCACTCATTAAAACTCATTCTTTTTTTAAGAAAACTTAAACACAACAATACAACAAGCAATAAATTATACATCTATAGACGTTTATATGGGATGTGAAGAAACCCTTATAATGGCAAGTTCAGATTAAAGATTAAATACTATCAAAAATAACAAATCCTTCTGGATTGGTCTGATAAATTTTCAAATAGGAAAAATATATGCTTGACCTACTGTATCTAATTTGATTGCCTAGACTATACTTGGTTTCATTATACAAATTTGCTGAACTTTAGACTCTCAACTCTCAAAAATAGATTAGTCAATTTCAAAAGAATCCTGAACTCTCAAGATTTATCAAAAACAATAATTTGCACATTTAAAAATTCTTTTTATTAAAACCGTTCTAATCATTTACGTCTAAAAAGAGTATTTGAGGCTGTGTTCAGTGGTTCATTGGCTGTAATGCCAACACTTTGAGAGGCCATGGTTGGAGGATCACTTGAGGTGGAGTCTGAGACCAGCCTGCGTCATACTGAGACTCCATCTCTTAAAAAAAAAAAAAACTTGGCCGGGCGTGGTGGCTCACGCCTGTAATCCTAGCACTTTGGGAGGCCAAGGCGGGCGGATTGCTCAAGGTCAGGAGTTCGAAACCAGCCTGAGTGAGACCCCGTCTCTACCAAAAATAGAAATAAATTAATTGACCAACTAAAAATATATATATACAAAAAAAAAAAAAAAACTTAAAAAAAAAAGTAGCAGGATATGATGGCAGGCACCTGTGGTCTTACCTACTTGGGAGGCTGAGGCAGGAGGATCATGTGAGCCCATGAGTTTGAGGTTGCTGCGAACTAAGCTGACACCACAGTACTCTAGCCTGGGAAAGAGCGCGAGACTCTGTCTCAAAAAAAAAAAAATCTCCCAACAAAAAAAAAAGTCCCATACCAGATGGTTTCGCACACAAATTTTACCAGACCTTCAAAGAAGAACTGCTTCCCATACTGCAGAAATTATCCCATAACATCAAAAAGGAAGGAATCCTCCCCAGCTAGTAAACAAAGCCATCAGCTTGATACCAAAGCCAGGTAAGAACACAACAAAAAAGAAAATGACAGACTAATATCCCTTATGATAATAGATACAAAATTCTCAATAAAATCCTAGCAAACCAAATTTAGCTGCACATCAAAAAAATAACCCACCACAACCAAGTAGGCTTCGTATCAGAGATGCAAGGATGGCTCGACATATGGAAATCTATAAATGTAATTTACCGCATAAACAAAAGTAAAAACAAATACCACATGATCCTCTAAACAGATACAGAAAAAGCATTTCACAAAATTCAGCACCCTTTTATAAGAATGCTTAACAAAATAGGCATTGATGGAAATTATCTCAAAATTATAAAAGCCATATATGGCAAACCCACAGCCAACATCATATCGAATGGGGAAAAATTGAAACCATTCCTTCTTAGAATTGTAACCAGAAAAGGCCGCCCACTACCTCCACTTCTATTCAGCATAGTGCTGGAAATCCTAGCCACAGCAATCAAACAAAAGAAGGAATATCCAAATGGGGAAAGAAAAGGTCAAACTGTTGTTTTTGGTTGGTGATATTATCTTATATCTAGAAAACTCCAAAGACTCTGCCAAGAGATTCCTGGAATTGATAAATAAATTCAACAAAGTTTCAGGTTACAAAATCAAAGTACACAAATCAGTAGCATTCATATAAGCCAACAACAGTCAAGCTGAGAACCAAATCAAAGACTCAATACCTTTCACAATAGAAACAAAGAAAATAAAATACTTAGGAATATATTCAAGGAGGTGAAAGACGTCTACAGGGAGAACTAGGAAACACAGAGGAAGGAAACAGCAAAGGATGTAAACAGATGGAAAAACATGTATCGTGCTCACAGATCAGGAAAATAAACCTGGTTAAGATGTCTATATTAGCCAAAGTGATCTACAGATTCAATGCAATTCCCATTAAAATACCAACATCATTTTTCACAGACGTAGGAAAAATACTTCTACACTTTGTATGAAACCAGAAAAGACCCCAAATAGCCAAAACATCCTTAAGCAGTAAGAACAAATCAGGAAGCATCACTTTACCAGACTTCTAGCTATACTACAAGTCTATAGTAACCAAAACAGCATGGTACTAACATTAAAACAGAGACATAGCCCTATGGATCAGAACACAGAACCTAGATATAAAACCATCCTCATATTGCTACCTAATCTTTGAAAAAGCAGACAAAAACATACTTTGTTGGAAAGAATCCCTATTCAATTAATGGTGCTGGGAAAATTGGATAACGTAGAAGACTGAAACAGGATCCACACCTCTCACAAATATCAACTCACAGTGGATAACAGACTTAAACCTAAGGCATGAAACTCTAAGAACTCTAGAAGAAAATGTCGGAAAAACTCTTATAGACATCAGCCTAGGCAAGGAATTTATGAAGAAGATCCCAAAGGCACTCGCAGCAACAACATAAATGATACCTGATCAAATTAAAAAGCTTCTGCACAGCCTAGGAAACTATCATGACAGCAAACGGACAACCTACAGAATAGAAGAAAATATTCGCATGCTACACATCCAATAAAGGGCTGATAGCTAAAGTCTATATAGAATTTAAGAAAATCAGCAAGAAAAAAAAAAAATCAAACGACCCCATAAAAAAGTGAGTCAAAGACATGAACAGAACCTTTTCAAAAGAAGATAGACTAATGGCCAACAAATATATAAAAAAATGCTCAACATCTCTACATCAGGGAAATGCAAATCAAAACCACAATAAGATATCACCTAACCCCAGTGAGAATGGCTTTTATCAAAAAGTCCCAAAACAACAGATGCTGGAGTGGATGTGGACAGAAGGAAACACTTATATACTGTTTGTGGGACTGCAAACTAGTACAATCTCTATGGAAAACAGTATGGAGATAACTCAGAGAACTAAAAGAAGACCTACCATTTGATCCAGTAATCCCACTATTGGGAATTTACCCAAAGGAAAAAAAGTCATTTTATCATGAAAACATCTGCACTAGAATGTTTACAGCAGCACAACTCACAACTGCAAAGATGTAGAATCAACCCAAGTGCCCATCAACACAAGTGGATTAATAAAACGTGGTATATTATGGAGTACTACGCATTAAAAAAGGTGAACTAATAATTTTTGTAACAACCTGGATGGAACTAGAGACCATTCTTCTAAGCAAAGTATCACAAGAATGGAAAAACAAACATCACATGTATTCACTATTAAATTGGAACTAATCAACACACATGTGCACATATGTCAGTAAAATTCAATAGAAACCAAGTAGGTGGGAAGAGGGAGGAGGGGTTGGGTAAATTTATACCTAATAGGTACAATGCACATTACCTTAGTGATGAGCACACCTGTAACTTTGACTCAAACTGCACAAAAGCAAAACATGTAATCAAAACATTTATACCTCTGTAATATTCTAAAATTTTTTTTAAAAAATCTGTAAAACAAAAAGTAAAGCAACCACCTAATATTGGTTTTCTATTTCCCAAATCATACATGTGAGTTAAGTCACATAATAAAGGCTGCCAACATTACAGATAACCTGTGTTTATTATAAAGGGTGGCCATAGGCAAATAGAAAAATAGTGTGGTCTCACTTGTGAAATATGATTAATTGAAGATTCCATCCTTCGTAGTTGGGATGCCTGGATATCCAGCATCTGCAGGACATTGTTGGCCAAGGTGTTTATCAGATAGGCGACACTTGCTAAAGATTGGGTGGTGTAGGCTTTGGTTTCTTCTAGGGCTCGCTGCTTATCTGCTGACTAAAGGAAAAAACAAACCAATGATTATTAGTTCAAAGATAACCCATTTCTAGCAAACTAACCTACAAAAGTACTCACCAAAATCATTCTGTTGCTACATCTACACAAAATCAAAAATGTTCTGAAAACTAATTATTGGTATCATGTAAACCCAAAACTGAACTATTAACTGAATGCACAAATATTTTCATGTTGAACAAAAAAATCTTTGTACAGATACAAATAAAACTCTGAAGCTATTATTTGAAAAAGAAGATCCAATGGATATTTTGCATAATGGCAGCAAGTATACATCACTTGGAAGGGTAGCATTGATTTGTATGCATAAATCTGGACATTCTTTTTTCTACCTTCCTGCATTTCTCCTTCCTTTCGCTCTGTGAAATATGGCCATGACCTAATGTCTGATTAAAGTAATATAATGATAAACAAAAGTGGTGATAATGACAGTAAATTAAAAGTAATAAAAAGATCCTTTCTTCCCAAACATTTTAAGTCTTATAACTCTATGGGATATAAATTGCCAAGAATCATAAACCCTACTTGAAAAAATAGAGACTAGACAGTAAAAAGTAGTTAACTGACTACTTCCAAGGTTACAGAACAAAGCAAAGGTAAAGTTACATATTCTATGCTACCGTGTTTTCTCAAAAATAAGACAGGGTCTTATATTTATTTTTCCTCAAGAAGACACCCTAGGGCTTATTTTCAGGGGATGTGTTATTTTTTTTAAGTACGGTACAACAATCTACATTTATTCAAATATAGTTAAGTCATCTTCTTCTGGAACATCATCATAACTCTCCAAACCCCAATTCCATCCTGAATTTCTTGTGACTCTATTTTCTTTAGAACCACTGGCCCCAATCTCTCATGTGGAGCAATAGAGCTCTCATGGGGCAGATGAGAAGGGTTACTGGTCTTCTTTACCGCTTCGAGACGAAATGCATGGGTTGTGCAGATACTATGCTGAGTAGCCACGCCCACCACTAGGTCTTATTTTTGGGGTAGGGCTTATATTGCACAAATGTTTAGAAATCCTGCTATAGCTTATTTTATGGGTAGGTCTTATTTTCGGGGAAACACGATACTAACTGCCAAACAACATCTACTTGCCCTAGTTTTATAGAAAGACTCCATGATTTAGTTGAAAGTACACAGTCTTTGAACCAGAAACCTTTTATGTTAATCTCAGCACTATCATTTGCTACAATATGTCAACTGGTACAAGAATCACAGTTCCTCAATTATGAAGCAGGAGATAAATTCATCATTCAACCATTCTGATAAATTGTAAACAACAAATAAGATAATTAACATAAAAACACTTTCTAAAACTATAAATTATATATTTAATATAATTGTGATCTCCTTGAGTGATCGACCATTAACTGTCCAAAATTCACTATAACCCAATCTCTTCCACATAGTATACAAATCAGAACCAACCCTAGATAGAAATTTTTCCCAGGCTTGGGGGAAGCAAAGGAAGTAAAATTCTTTTGAAGAGACAGTTAACAAAATAACCAAATAACACCATTTTAACTTGAAATGAGTTAAGAATCACTCTCTTTTTTTTCCCTTTTCTATTCTAATCCTTAATAATCAGTCTTATCAAAGCTTAAATTAACAACAGCAATGACACCAAACTTGGTCAAAGACAAATACTTTTACAAAGCAGCATACATTCTAGGATTCCATAACAGTTACTTTCAACATAGTCACATCCTTTTCAAATTTCATTACTGTTGGTTGAGGCAAATAAAAGATGTTAAAAATTATATAGCCATTAAAGTCACATATTTATATAAAATTAAAATTGTGCTTATAAAGTATACCTATAAATGCTTACTTTTACATTTTTAACATGAATATCCTATAGCTGAAGGCAATAAATCTCAATTCTTCTAGTTGATATTTGTCAAAATTTCTCACAGTAGGATAGCCTAAGCAGATTATTCAAATAAGCACCATAGATTTTAGTATTTTTATAAATTAGATGGCATCAATCTAAGAATAACTATGAATGATGCTAGATAACTTTTCCCAAACAGGAGTTCACTCTATAAGAACCAGCAGTTCTCTTCAATAATTTTTGTATTTTGTTATTTTCACAACAATTTATATACAAAAGTATAAAATTAATATATTAACATAATCTGGATTATATGGAATAACCAAATGATAACTAATAAGAAACATAAAGCAAACTCAGTACTGCTTTGGGGTTCAACTATGTTAGAACCAAGCCATGGTACTTTAATTGCTGAATAAATTAATGAGATAAAATAGACAAACTTATATAAATGATGCATTTACACTGTACTGTACAAATGAAAACTTTTAAAAAGGGTTTGCAATTGCTTAAATAGCTTTAAGGAAGGAGACAAGTCAGATCAGGCACATCTGTAGTACAAACAGGTTCATAACACACTCCATAACAGTAAACAAAAGAGTTTGTAAACCCACCACCATATTCAAAGTTCAAATGACAACTGAGTTTTGACAAAATATCATCTACGACGCTACTGTTTGATTTAAATTTTATTAATTTCATATTTTTGTCTTATTTGGAAATTTATTTTGAATCTATAGTTGTTACAAGAACTTTAATCACCTTAGCCTTAATCGTAAGTAGTTTATACCTAACTTTATATTTGAACATTAAATATTTTTACTGAATTAAGTCAGCACAGAAAGTCAAGTTCTTTCTTTCCATTTAAAATTAAAATTCTGTCCATTAATCAAGTCTAAGAAATATTATGACAGTTTTTATCTTTTTTTTTTTTTGAGACAGAGCTAGCTTTGTTGCCCAGGCTAGAGTAAGTGCCGTGGCATCAGCCTAGCTCACAGCAATCTCAAACTCCTGGGCTCAGGCAATCCTGCTGCCTCAGCCTCCTGAGTAGCTGGGACTACAGGCATGCACCACCATGCCCGGCTAATTTTTTCTGTATATATTAGTTGGCCAATTCTTTCTATTTACAGTAGAGATAGGGTCTCGCTCTTGCTCAGGCTGGTTTCAAACTCCTGACCTCAAGCAATCCGCCCACCTCGGCCTCCCAGAGTGCTGGGATTACAGGCGTGAGCCACTGCGCACGGCCAACAGTTTATATCTAAATAGTAAAAAATATAAAAAATGCAAATACAGTCCTATAAGCATTAAGATCACAGTCCCATGCATTTACAAAATAGTTGAAAAAAAAAAAAAAGAAAAAAAAGAAAAAGAAAAGATCACAGTCCCAGAAAACATGTAGCCTGAAGGAGATAGATATTTTTTCGGATCTTGATCCCACAGATTAAGACTTCATTCCATGAACTGGAAAGAATTAATGATATTTATTTTTGTACAAAATTCATAGACAACTTAGCAATTATTTTTATTAACAGAATAGGCAAAATTCTGGTACCATCCTCTCTATAAAAATAACAAAAAATGACAGATAGGAAGAAATTGTAAGGATCAACGCTACACCATGTGGCCACTATTTTGTTTGTTTTTAAAGAGAGGGCTGTCTCATTCTGTCGCCTAGGCTGCATACAGTAGCATGATCAAAGCTCACTGTTGCAGCCTCAAACTCCTGGGCTCAAGCCATCCTACTCCCTTCAGCCTCTCCAGTAGCTGAAATTACAAGCAACACACACCCAGCTGTGGCTTCTGTTACAAAAAAAAAAAAAGTTACATTTTCATTCAATATAACAAATGTTATAATAGTGTCATGACAAAGAAGCCAAGACAGAATAAGATTTATACACAAGACATTATTCTCAGAGCTGAGAAATTTTAAAACATATCTGCTCTTAAGAACCTACTACAGGAGAAGATTCACATAAATTACAAAGGTGAATAAGGTAAATAAAATGTAGTGCAGATTAAATAGGGGTAACATGAAGTGCAATATAAAGAAGGCATGTTGAGAACATCAATGATGTCAAACGTTCAGAGATCTTTAAGTAAGAAAAAAACTGAATTCTTAACAGACTACACAGATGATTCAGAAAAACAGAAGTAATTCTCACAGATTGTTTTGTTATGTATCTTTTACATCAGATAAACCATTTCATGACAAGCCTTAAGTAAATGTGTAAAAAAATGAACCACATCCCCTGTTAATCTTTTTTTCTTTTCTTTTTTTTTCTTTTGGAGATAGTGCCTGGCTCTGTCACCCTGGCTAAAGTGCAGTGGGGTCATCATAGCTCACTGCAACCTCAAACTCCCCGGCTCGAGTAATCCTCCTGCTTCAGCCTCCCGAGTAGCTGGGACTATAGGCACGTGCCACCATGCCCAGCTAATTTTTTCTATTTTTTATAGAGACGGGGGTCTTACTCTTACTCAGGATGGACCCTATTAATCTTCAAGTGAAAATGTCAGAAAATTTCTACATCACTGTTACTTTGTACCAATAACCACAACAGGTCCACACTAGGTATACAACCTTTTTTTTTTTTTTTTTTTTTGAGACAGAGTTTCACTTTGTTGCCCAGGCTAGAGCGAGTGCTATGGCGTCAGCCTAGCTCACAGCAACCTCAATCTCCTGGGCTCAAGCGAGCCTCCTGCCTCAGCCTCCCGAGTAGCTGGAACTACAGGCATGTGCCACCATGCCCGGTTAATTTTTTCTATATATATTAGTTGGCCAATTAATTTCTTTCTATTTATAGTAGAGACGGGGTCTCGCTCTTGCTCAGGCTGGTTTCAAACTCCTGACCTCGAGCAATCTGCCCGCCTCAGCCTCCCAGAGTGCTAGGATTACAGGCGTGAGCCACCGCGCCCGGCCTACAATTTTTTATAGGTAAAACATTTTATATATAATAATCTCGCTGTATAAACTATATACGTAAATTTTTTAATTTGTAAAAAGCTCATTCTTCTTGGCTTCTAAGTCATTACATTACAACACTGGAATTAGAACTTATTAATAAATCCAAATAATTTTTTCTTGGCCATTAATTTTACCCCCAAGCCATAGCCAAACAGCATCTTGGAGAGGGATGCTACATCCATA